AAGGTATTCTACCTCGGCAACTTTGTCTTCTTCTTCGCATGCGGTGCGTCTCAACACGCCGATAAAGTGTTTTTACGCAACTGCGTTTGTGGCTGATTGGGTGGTTGCCAATCATCTATCAATTACGTCATTATCCCAGCCAATGACAACCAAGCACGCGTGAAGCGCGTGTTTGCGTAATACGCTTACGCGCGCAATGCTATTAGGGATGCAGGTGCGTCCCATAATTTTTACACGCACCTCTAAAAATTGTCACTCTTAAGATAATATCCACGACACGTATGTAGTATTGTTTTTTCTCAAAATGCAGTTTAGTTCTATTTGTGGAGTGTGTAAATGCGGTGGTGTCTAGTTGGTCAATTACGATCAATATACCTTGTCGTCACTAACAGTCCTCTATCTACATTCGACTTACGAAGTTTCTTCGGTCGCAGTGAAAACCCCTAGCACAAACTCTCCAGCTTAATAAATAACCTTCCATTGACATGTTGCTTCACTTGAGGAAAAAAAGCAATTTGCACTGCAATGCCAGAGAAATGTCGCCTCGCGAGACTATTATAAGGAGAGATGTTTAACACTAACACAGACAGCATAAATTCTTTTGCAATACCGTCAGAAGAACACCAAACGAGATTTCGATACTACCAACCGTTTGTCTCAAAGCGCTGCCAATACTACACCGGTTTCTAATATTACTTTCCAAGAGCCCCAAGGTACCTTTTATACCGCGACTGAAGACATGGTTTATCAGAGGCATGGATTAGAAACTTTATTCAAGTCATCTTATAGGTAATTAATTCTCGCAGAGAACAGTCTTGGCGCCTGCTATTAACTTATTTCAGCAATTCCCCATGGGTTATTGACAGATCGATACATCTATTGAAGAAGTCGTTTATTTTTTGCAGGGCGTCATATAGCAGGCGCGCGATCAGGTCCCACAACAGGCCGGAGGTTATCGTCTGATAGAAAACAAACTCTTACCCTAGTACGAATGCAGATCTGGTCAGTGAAGAAAAATGGGCATCAGTATTTTAAGTAGTGCACCTCATATACCCCTAGTCCCAGCATTTTGTCCTACAGAAACGGTAGTCATAGGGGTTTTGTGGGTGAGGAATTAGGATAGGCAGCGGAATATACTTTACTAGCTGATATATGCCTTTTTTATTGTATTTAGAAATGTTGCTGATTTTTATCTGTCGATTTTCCTTCTCTATATTATCGTTTAACGTATTGTGGAAAAACCTGGTTATCAAAATGCAGGTTTTCAGAAAATTCCTGAAAAAAATAGGAATAGTGGTTAGGAGGTCGTCTACTTCAACTTACCTGAGGTCCAACTTACCGTACTGGGGTTAGATTAGTAAAGTTCGTGGCGCGAGGTGGCCCGCACACCCTCAATTTACATGCGGAACAACTTAATCCTAGCAGCCGTGGGAAACAAATTAATCTACATTTTCCACCTTCCACTTCTAAAAACATTCTTCATTGCCTATCCTAGTTCCCGATCCCTTAAACCCCTATAACTACCTTTCCGTAGGAGAAAATGCTAGGACCACGGGTATATGAGGTGCACTACTTAACCTACTTTTGCCGAAAAAATGTTAGCTTTTCCTTCAGATTCTGCATGCTTGTTCCTATGTTACCGTGCACACAGGTTTACTGGTTTTACCAGCGTTACTGACAGGGCTACAGTAGCATTCCAGCCCCGATAAATGACGTCAGCTTTTTGGCCATTTGGTACTTAGTCGGCTAGGATATGTATAAAAAACGACCCAGAAAGTGAACTCGGCTTATTCTTCTGGCGTATGTGTTCAAAAAAGAAGATTAGTTCGAATGCGACCTACTTCGATTTCGTAAATAGTTCGTTTTGTTTATTCTTTATGTCTACCTACAGGCGGCCTTTCAATTAATCCCTATCAAGGCGTCTGACGGAATTAAATTTGCGCTACTTGGGTGATTGCTATATTTCTCAGTAGTATAGCCTCAGTTTCTGTGTGAAATGTAAGACATAAAGGATAGCAGAGAACAACTTCACTGCAAAGGGTACTATGTGTATATCGACTCGTCCTGTCCGCGGCGTCGTATACAGAAGGTTATCCCCTTTGTCTGATTTGCACATTCCTATCGGTCCAGCTTTGAGCACCCGTATTAGCAGACCCTCTGGTGTTGTCAGCTCCGCAAGATAGCGCATAACTCGGCCGCACGCAACTTGCTGACTCACGCGTGTGTATCAATGGGATGTAAACGACAAAAACAAGATTACCTCAATAAAATGCCAAGGAAGACTAATAAGGTTGCTCAAGCTTTTACTGTGATAAAGAAATAACAATGGCATCCGCAGGCACTATCTGTCTTTTCAGGCAAGCTGTGTATGAGTGTCCGCCATGAGTCCTCTGTCACCTGCAGCTAATTAATAAAATATGCCAGCCAATGTCAACTCTTTAGAATCCTATATATGTCCATAGGTGCCTTTTGTCGCTCGCAACCAATCCGTCCAGAACGCACGTTGATTGGCCGGATGTGGACAGCTCCAGCAACGAATCCCCCAGGAGCGTGAGGCGGACGGACCCGAAGGCATTTGCAAGCGTTGCGTTGGCGAAAACGCGCGTGGGCACCCACAAGCGCACTACGGCAACTGGAGAACATCCTTCTGGCATTAAAACCCGTGCTACTGACTACTTTTGCTCAGTATAGTGAATAGATTTTGAATAATTATTTGATGTATTTTTCTATATGGGAAGAGTAGCGTGACAGGAATGTTTGATTCTTGCGGCTTCTTCGTGTGACTTCATTGTTAAAACCTTGATGGCATAGGTGGGATTGGGAAGAACGACAGAATACGCGAGGCTTTCTTATAATCAAACGCTCTAACGGCCTGACATGCGATATCCCGACGGGGGTCGTGATTTAAATCACATTCGGGTTAAGTCACCCACTCACTCTTATCACAGCTATCTGTCTTATAAAGCAGGATTTCCCATACAATTGAGATCGAATCCATAAGATTACCTCCATAGTTACTTACTTAACAGGTATTTAAGATTGGTTTGCGTAGTTTATATGACTCAAGCGTGAAAAGCTCGACGGACTCCACAGGACCGTTAACGTTAAAATAGTCGTGCATTTGATCTCGCACATTCAAAATCCACAGATACCCTCGAGGCTTTCCTGATGACTTCTGAACAAATCACAGAAATGTCGCACCTATACCTTCGAAATGTAACCCGACAATTTGTAAAACCTGAAGGTGATATTGCAAAGGCGTGAGGCATTCCGTCAACATTTCCTTCATCGAGGTTCTTCTACTGTCGATTATTGTCCTCAGACCAGCACACCCGCAGACAAACCGTGACGGGAACACAAAAAACTACCTGTCTGAAGATACGAATACTCCTCATATGCAAAAACAGCCTGGCAACCATCTAAGTTACACAAGTGTTTTCATATACGCAGGGTAGTAGTGATATGTATTACGCGCTTATTTATCATATTCGCAACACAGGTACTAGCTAAAGGCACAGAAACGCGTATTAGCTACGCTGTTATATTGCGGTAGCTGATGAATTTCAGCTGAACTATTTATACCAATTTTCGGACAGACCCTGAAAATGTCAGTTCTGACGAATTAGCTAAACATGACAGTTGTATTAACGTCTGTCCTCGTAACCCACCACAAGTACAGGGGCATACTTGGCACGGGAGCGAACCCCTCTCATAAAATCTGTTTTCGGATTATTGATTAACAGTAAATTTAGGAAAAGAAGTAAAATCGAAGGCAATATACTTAATTCAAAAGGTTATTTTTTGCAAAATAGTGTTACCATTTTCAAGTTACCGTTGAGGAATATAAATCGGCATGGAAATAAACACAGGACAGGGATCGAGCCCCGAAAATGATATAAACAAGGAAGGCTCATGTCTCGACTGGTTAAAAATACCATTAGGCAATCTGTAGACTTGGTATCCTCGTGGTTCAACCTACTTTTCGTCAGTTCAAGTGCTAAGGAAATGCTTTCGGACTGCGAGCCCAGTAAAGTGCCCAAAGTTAGCATCACAACTTTTACTACAGAACGTATGGAAGTCATTTTGCGTGGCTACCACCCTGTGCTAGTGAGTTATGCGTACAAAGACAATCTGTCCTTCCGATGTTTTTGCTGTCCTGAGGACGGTACGAGTAGTTTCACTTGGATGAAAGTTGAAAGAAGTGACAGGCCCTTCTTCCCTATGGTGTATGGAATCAACTATTCCCTGTACTTTGAGCTACTACGCCTCCAAGGGGAAAGAATACACAGCTGAGAATATGAATCCCATGCGCTGCACAAACCGAAAGGATAGAAGTCTGCTTATCCACGAATGGTGTCCAAAAACCTATCCCGCGCGGTTGCGGCATCCACACTGTTTCGTGCTGTCATTTAGAAGAGCTTGCGTCTTTGTTGGGCATGCCTGCATTTCCACTGTGAGTTAGTCTCCCAGAAAAGCACACGTGTGAGCCCTCGACGGCCTCCCGCCTTGACTGCGGCCACAAAGAGATCTTGTGGGATCTAATTGGTCTATGTCTGCGAGAAGTTGCTCGGCTCTGCTCTGTAGCTTTTTCCTAAGCGATTGGACAGAACATAGCCAACCAGAGCGGGATGCTTTAAATACACACAGCCTTTTAGTGGGAGGTAGACTCGCTGTTTTTCAATAAATGCTCCTCGTGACCAATCGTGTTCAGCTCCTTTTCCGTGCTTTGGTGCTTTGGGGATAACAATCGGTT